TTTTACATGATGTACTTCATGTACTATTTAAAGAGAAATTCCAAATACATGCTAAAATCTTTTCAACTGAACTAATACGATTTGTGGCAATTGATTTAACTGACTTCCAAAAAAATTTTTTAATCAAGGAAGCCATTAGGAAGAAGAAACAAAATTGGCAAAATGTTGATAATTGTTTAAGGTGCTAACATGTACATGGAGATTGATCAAACTGATCACTTTACTTTTACATATCTTTGAAATCTTGCATGGTATAAAGTAAAATTTTAAAATAAATCAGAACTACAAGATCAAAAAAAAAGAAAAAAAAGCAAGCAAACAAACATATTTGGGCAGTTGGTTTGCTGAATCAGTCCTAGAGAACTCTCAGTTTAGAATTCAGAAACAGGAAAGTCTGAGTGTTCTGGCTAGTCTGTTCTTGGAAATCACACCTTTTCTTTTATAATTGTTAAAAATTCTGAGTTGAGGGTTATGTTAAGTACTGCTATATCACTTTCCAACCTTTCACTTGTTCTTTCTAGCCCAAATTTCTTCTAATCTCAAAACTTTCATCCTGATATTTCTATAAAGATTTAAACACAGCCCTGAATGGATTTTTAATTCCTGTAAAAAAATGCAAATTCACTAAATAAGTTTATTCCTAGTCGTAACTGCCCAGCATGACCTTTACCCCAACTACATCCTTTGCTAAGGAGCACTGCTGAAATGATAATCTAAGAAAATGAGTACTGAGATTAGTTATGACTTTTCAAATTCTTATTTCTCTCTAAATCCTAATTCCCACAGAAAGAAACACTAAAGCTGTTTAATGCTTGTTGCAAAAAGCCTGCTAACTATAAGAGAACAGAGTAAGCAAAAAATGTAACGTATGAGCTCTCATCCTGTCAAACCCCGACATTTAAATACTAAGTAATATAAAACATTTAAGCAGCAAAACTGTATAGTGGACCTGACTGAAGAAGAAAAATACTTTTATCCTTACTTTGCATATGCAGATACTTGAACCTATATTTATTTAGGTCTAAATTATACATACTCTTGTATAAACAAGTAGGCAAGTGAATTATCAGATGTTATTTTAATTCATTAAAGTTGAATACATCATCTGTCAATCTAGTCCAAAGAACAACCCCCCATCAGCTTCGGTTTCATGAAATTCCTAAATTCAAAGAGTGGATGTAAGACTGACTTTTGGAAGGGAGGAGGGAGAATGTGAGTACAATAAGCCAACAATGCCCATTCCATTTTCAGGAAGCACTAATTCTTAGGAAAGTTTCACTAAGGAACTTAAGTTCTATGTATCTTTCTATCAAGGATTCGAGAACAAAACACAACATCACGCTCCCTTATAGGCGAAAAGCCTATATGCCTCTGGCCAAAAAAACCGCTTGAGAGAGAGCAGTGAAAATACTTTGTGCAGGCATACTTAAGAAACTGAGGCAAAATCCCATGTAGCCAGGTTAGTTGCGGGCCTAACATGACCAAAGTTTTGGCTGGAATAGCATTTCCAGACTGCATTAAGGAATTAAGGTTGACTTCAGAAGGCCTATGAGAAAGCCCTTTGGAACACTGGCCAGATACCCATCAGTAACCTTTCCTGATCTGTGGTAAGGAATGGGAATGGAGTACCCATCAGTACTATGAGAGGCCTATGAGAAAGCCCTTTGGAACACTGGCCAGATACCCATCAGTAACCTTTCCTGATCTGTGGTAAGGAACGGGTCTGGGAATGGAGTAACCTTTCCTGATCTGTGGTAAGTGACGAAGGTCGCTTGCTGACATGTCTGAGAACGGTAATGTTATACAAGTATCTAATGGCACAGATAAAACTTGGGCTCATGAAAGGCTTTTGAGAAGTCCAGCCTGAGAATTCCTTATAAAAGGCTCCAGCAAAAACCCCCTTGACTTAAGGCCTATATGGGAGCAGAGGTTTGCACACAAACTCCTATATGCCCAAGAAGTTTCTCTATGCTTTGCTTAAAGATTCAAAGTAACTGCCTCCAAATGGCATGGTCAGTAGAACAGACATTCAAATCGTCTCTTTCCCCCATAGCCTCAGGCTTCATCAGATAAGATCAAAGAAAATAATAACTGACAACATGTTCTTCATTAAGTTATATTAAACCGGGTTATATCGAAAGGATTATGCTTAATGGTGTATGTTGGGGGGATTATTAGATTACCAGGGAGGAGCTACTTACAGGGCGGGTGGTCATAAGCTGTTTAAATGGATCAATGAGGTCATTGCTGCATTGTGCTCATGTACAAAATTCCCTATATAAGCCAACTGCAAATAAAGAAGCTCGCCATTTTGCCTGAGCGAGCAGATGGTCACCTTTATTTAAAACACAATTTCAATAAGCATGCTTATTCTTCACGACTTTGCTTTTCCGTGAGACCCTTACTGCAACACTCCGTCTCCAATAAGATCCTTTTTCAAGTATTTGAGAATAACTATTATGTTTCTCCTACATCTTCTCTTCTCTGTGCCAACCCTAGCTCTTTAATATGGTTTCTACAATGTCTACCATACGATAATTTGCTGTGAAGTGCACCCCACTTTATTATGCTCTTAAAAAGTAGTAAAAAAATTAAAATAACATGAACACGGTATACCACAGGGTCCTACTAGGACAGATAAATGGCAGCTTCCTTTGATTTTGATGCTGGACTTTTAATGAACTTGTTAGCGTTTATAGTAGAAAAATATGTTATCAATTCATTTTCAATACATTATCTATTTCAATAAAATCCTCAAGAGCTTCTATTCATTTATCAGCCACTTAAAGAGTGCCTTCACTATTCCTGGTACCGGGCGCAGGAGGCTAACACAACATACACTTCCTGTACACAGGAAGTTTACAGTTTAATAGGGACATGGACATCCCAGGTCAATGTATAATTGTGATAAAGGCACAAAAGAAAAGGACTAAAGGCTGGGAGCATATAGTAGGGGAGACTCATCTTTTATAAAATAAATAGTACTTTGAAAAGAGATGTAAGCCAAGACTTAAGAATAAGAGTTGACTACTGAGAGAAAGAGCAACACCTGTGAAATTGGGAAGGTGCCTGGATGATCAGGCAGTGAGAGGGGACCAGTTTGGCTTCAGTTTGGGAAGAGGGGGTGTCAGATAAGCCTGAAGATCAGTCAGTGAGATCTTGGAAGGCCTTGGAGAATAGTTTAAGGAGTTTAGATTTTAAGTTAGTGGGAGGCTACTAAATGGTTTGAGGTAGGGGAGCATTAAGAAGAGATTAACAAACTAAAAAGCAAAAACTTAGGAGTTAGCATGTGAAAAATCTAAGAAAGAAGAATAGTACAGGAAGACCAGTTGGAGGAGAGGCTACGACTGTAATCCGGGCAGGAACAATGGTAGCAGACACCAGGCTGTCGGCAACGGTATGGAGAGAAATAGATTCAAGGTAAATGTAGGGTGTGACAACAGACTTCATATGAGGAATAAGGAAGAGGGAAGTGTTAATACACTCAGGTTAACTACATGAATGATGGAATGGATGACAATGTCGTTTTACTTCCGTATATAAGAAGGGCTGTCACACAGGACCTCACCAACCAGAACTTGGGCAATTAATGTTCTGAACTTACTGCAAGACTTTAATATTCATCTGTGTTTTATTTTTTTTTTCAATTTTTTGGCTCACACTTCTAGTTAGTTCAGACATTTGAAAATCTTAAGTCTATCATGTGCTATTTCCTGGTAGCCCTCCCAGCTTTTTATCACCTATAAATTTGGTTAAGTCATTCTTTGTTGCTATTTTTTACATTGTTAACAGAGATGTAAATAGGGGACAAGATTTAGTATTCAGTCCTTCAGTGCCTCACTAATAACCTCTCTGCAGGTTGGCACTGATTCATTAAATAAAACAACTGAGGCATGACAGCTAAAGCCAGAAATACTTGCTCAATGCTTAGGCTATGCTTAATACTTACTATCCATTATTTTAGTTTTGATAATATTAATTCTTTCCACCCCCAATGTTTTGCTTGATGCCAGCAGCTGAGGTAGGAAATATTAATATTATCACCCTCATTTTAGAGAGAAGGAAACTCAGACTCAGTGGTGAGCTAACTGGTCTTAACTCACAGAGTTAGTAAAGACACATGCATGAAGCTCAGCTTGGAGACTCTCAGATGCGTGCTGTGCAATCACGAGGCTTTACTTACGTACCTTGAGTTAAGGTTCCTGATGTTCTTTACCATCTGTATGAGCACACGCTCACACACCGTTACTGTGCCCAGCGGCTCCCAGCACTATGTTTACCACCTTTCTTACTTCTACACGCTCTTCTTGACCTCTTGCTTTGCAGTTTAATTAAAGGCTATGATTCTCCTCTGCCGTCAAAACTCAGTTTCTCTATCAATAATTCTTCTCTTTTTGTCCCTTCTTTCACAGAACCAGTACTGTAAGTATTCCTGTTCAAATTCTAATATCTTTATTAAGTTAGAAACCAACTGTTGGTGTTACAAATTGTAAAAGTCAAGGAAAGCAAGAATTTATACAGGTAGACACTTCACTGTATTTCATAAATGTTTGTTATGAAACAGTAAGATTGATTTTCAGGATATTCCATTTGGGCTCAAATAACAACACCAAAGGGCTACTAAGTTAGTAAATAAAAGGGTTTTCAGTTCAGGAATAGTTGTTTTACAACGCTTATCAGTACAAGAAAACATACAGACAAGAAAATACTCTGAAAGATTCTAGCCAGCAGTAGTGATTGTCATTTTAAAATTTAGGAACATGACGAAGGACTTTTACTCATAATAAATTCCCAGGGTTCATGTTTAACATATTTCAAAATGTGTTAAATTTTGCTAAAGTGAATTTTTTAAAAGCTGCTTTTATTTAGTTTCAACAAAAGAATGCAGCTACATCTATATAATTTTCCCACTTAAATGCAGAAAAAAATGCTTCTTTGAGGCAAAGAGCATTAAAATAAATAATTCCTAAGCAGTAGTATACCTAAGAAAATTCATTCACCTTTCAGTTTTTGGAGATCTTCTTTCAAATCAGGCCCTGCAAGCATGAAGATCCTTTCTGACACAGGATTCTTATCTGTGAGACTTTCATTGCTGGTATTCACAATAGCTGTACAGTTCAGTAATGCCACGTCTCCTTTCCTGAGAAAGCAAATAAATAAAGACCAAGTGTGGGGAAGAAGAAGGAGATAAGAAACCTCCTTTCTCATCCTTTCAAACATTCTAGCTCACAAAGTAAGTGATAGCAGAAGACAAATTCCTGACTCAAAAAAATTAATCTGGTACCATCACATGGAAGATGAGGAAACAAATTAATCTGGACTCTTAGATAGATCTTTAATGTAATTGCTATTACCCTTAAACTCACAACATCATCATGTTATACTTTTGCTTTGTACCTATTTCTTTTTTTTTGGTAACCAGATGGTAATAGCACTAAAAATGGTTGGATTAAGAGTTTAGACACAGCAACATTATTCATAATAGCCAAAAAGTGGAAATAATCTAAATGTCTATCACCAGATAGATAAATAAAATATGGTACAGACATACAATGGAGTATTATTCAGCCATGAAAAGGAATGTAGTTGTGATTCATACAATATGGATGAACCTTGAAAACATGTTAAGTCACACAAAAAACACATTTTATTGTACTGACTCCATTTATATGTATGTGAAATGTCCAGAATCAGAAAATCTATAAAGACAGAAAGTTAGTGGTTGGGGGGTTAATGAGAAGTAACTGATAAGTAGGTACAGGGCTCTGGGCTGATGAAAATGCCTGAAATTGACTATGGTATGGTCACACAACTCTAATGGATACACTGAAGACCAGTGGATTGTGTAATTAAAATTGGTGAATTATATGGTATATGAATTTTCTCTCAATAAAATTTTTTTTAAATACAGAATTACTACTGATATACACAACACAGATGAATTTATATAATTCTCATAAAGGCAGGCAGATCAAAAGAAGCACATGATTCCATTTACATAAAACTCTAGAAAATGCAAACTAGCCTATAGTTGACAGGAAGGTCAGTGGCTGCTTAGTGATATGGAGGCTGAGAAGAAGAGGAGGAGAGATTAGAAAGATACATAGAAAACTTTTGGAGGTGATAAATGTATTTGCTCACTGGACTGAGGTGATGGCTGCACGGATATAACCACATGTCACAACTTACCAAGTTGTACGCTTTAAATATGAGCAGTTTAGTTTATGTCAATTATACCTCAATAAAGCTACATGTATTCTATACATATTATGTGCAAAGCAATATTTCAATGACACTAGAACATATAAAACAGTTTAGAAGAAAGGCTAAGAAGTCCTATCTCCTTATGATAAAATCAAAGAATTACCAAAGAACCACTTTTCCATTGACATCCTTATTATAACGAAAAGGTGATCTAATAGTGTCTTCATGAAATATTTCAGCTGTAGTAGCAGAAGAATTTAATTCATCTTCACACGAGTCCCCCCAGCTTGTTAGTGTATCCACATCTACAAACTGGGAAGGGGCACCCAAGGGATCCATGGAACGAGAACTGTGGTTTGTCTTTTTCCAAATTCCTCAGCAATTCAATATTCCCTGGAGACGTTAGCTTAAGAGAAAAGAAAGGAATCATTTTAATAAAGAAGCATAATATTACTTGAATTCCATTAAGGCAAAAAAAACTCCACCGTAAAATACTCTAGTAGTACATTATGTGATTATAATCACTCAAGTAGTCCATTAAAAACAACAGACAACAAAAAATTGCTCAGCTTTTCTAAAGCAAGAATAAAGGGAGATTATTTAAGTACAAGTTTTTTTTCAAAGAATTACAGCCATTAAATAATCACATGGCCCACCAGTTCTACTTTCCAGAAATAGGACTATTCATTCATTCAACATTTACTGAATGCCTACTATTAAAAAAAAAAAAGTGCTAGATGCTGGAAGAGATACAAAGATAAATTCTTTGGCTAGTGTGGCCCCTCACTAAATCCAAATTTTACAGAACAAATCCCTTAAATAAAGAGATTTGTTCTGTGAAGTTTGGATTCAGTCAAAAGGCTCCAGGATCACTCAAGGATCCAGAAGGCGAGTTTCCCTGGCCCTTAAAGAGTTCAGTCTGATGACAATGTGGAGGAAGTATTGAGTAAGACAGATGAAAAGCAGGGAAGTTACTACAATCAATTAGTAAGAGATAAATGTTTCAACTAAGTAGCAAAGGAAACAGACAAGGAGGCATAGATTTAATAAGCAAAATACAAAGGAAGAACAAACAGGAGTTGACAGTTTATAGGATATGGTGTACAAGACAGAGATGTGGTAGATAACTGGACATACTGAAATACAGAAATTAGAAGAGGAGGATGATAGGAAGACACACAGCGTCAAGTACTGGAGAGAGGTCATGGGAAAATCTACCAGGAGGAAGGACAATAATAAATTTGTCAATAAGTCAGACAATATGCTTTAATACAATAAGTTTCAGTAAAATGGTAGATTCATTCATACAATAAACCTGTGTAAGCATCTATTATGTGTCAGTTACTATTCTAGGCACTGGGGATGTAGAGGTGAACGAGACAGAGCAAGCCCCTGTCCTTCAGGAGCCATGGTTCTATGGAGAAGAGATGAGATGGTACCTGATAAAGAAGCCAGCAGGCATCTAACAGAACAACTGCAGGCAGTTAAGTATTAGGAGAAAAAATGTGACGTCTGAGCAGAGAGTTAAAGTGGGAGAGAAAGCCATGTGAAGCTCTGGGGAGGGTTTCAGGCAAAGGAAAGAACAAGTACAAAAGCCCAAAGGGCAGGAAGAAGCTCGGTGCATTCCAGGCAGAGCAAGGAGACTAGTTTGGCTGGAACAGAATAAGCTAGGACTAGGGAATGAGTGGAGAGGGATAAGGTTGATAGGAGAGGGAAAAGGCCAGATGGTGCAGTTTGTAAGCCTTGGTAAGAAGTTTAGATCTTATTTTAAATACGAAGGGAATTGATTAGAGGATCTTGATCAAGTTAATGACTAAGTACAAACAACAAAGACAGTAGAAAATGATTGCAGTAATCTAAGTGAGAGGATAGTGGTGGGAAACATTAGATCACCTATGTATTTTGAAGACAGAATTAACAAGACTTGCTAAATGAATATAGAGGGTGGGGAAAGGAGCAAAACAGCAACTGAGTAGATGGTAATACAATTACAGGAAAAACTGGATTAGGTTGTAGGGTATAGTGATAAAGGACTTTTTATTTTTATGTGTTTTGGATGTGCTAAGTTTGAGATGCTCCTTACATGGTCCAGTGTTTATGTCAAATCATAAAACTGGCTACATGAGGCTAGAGCTCAGAGACGTTGGGCTACAGACACAAATTTGGAAGTCTCAGCATACAGATGGTATTTAAAGCTATGGGAACCAGCTAGCCTAGTTATGGAAAGATAGCCCAGAGAGAAAATGCTAATGGACAAAAGAGATCCGAGGGGAGGACTGAGGCCTACAGCAAAATTTAAGGTTGAAAAGAGGACAAGTCAGAAAGTGAGACTGAGAAGGACTGGTAAGATTAAGGAAAACCAGGCAGGTCTGGCAGCCTACAAACCAAGTGAATAAAGTATTTCAAGGATCAGTGTTAAATGCTACGGAAAGGCTGAGTAACAGGACCGAGAACTTACAAATGAGTTTGGGAAGTTGGAGGTTGCTGGCTACATGAACATCCATGAAAGGCAAAAGATGATCAGGGGAAGAACACTGGCAGGTGAAAAGTTCTTTTGGGAGAGATATTTCAGCGTGGTCCAGAATCAAGGAGCTCAAGCAGGCCCTTCTACAACTAATTCCTTCGTGTTTCTTGCTGAAAGACATGGAATACTAACTGGAATAAAACACAGAGCTAGTCCAATATGCTAATTTCCATATCAACATTGTGGAAGAGAAATAAGATCATTTATTTAATAATTTTTCAGAAAAGCATTGTATATTATACTATGATAATTTGTATGAAGACTATTTTTATTTGATAATAATTCCTCCTTTGAAACTCTTTTGAAATAAAGAAACTAATTCTGTCTACAAGTTAGTGGTTAGTTCATCCAATGTGCCTTTGAAACTGGAATCATCCATAAGTTTGTTGATCTGTTCATAAATATTCAGAATTGAACTAGACAAGCTGAACAGAGGACAAATGGGGATTACTCTGGTTATCATGTCTGAATTGCCTCAAGCTCAATGGAATGACACTTTGTAGAAATACATTATTTAAAAATATTATTTGCAGATTTTTAATGACAATGGCCTATGCTCAAAGTTCTTAATAATATGTTAAAAATTCCATTATATACAAACACAGTTTCAGTTTGCAAACTTGAATGACAACTTTTAGAACAAAATTGCTTCTTTAAAATAACTTTTCTTTCAGACTTTAACACCTGCTTTAGAACATTTGAAAAATATTAAAATTGAGGAGAGAAAAAAACTCTCAAATTTTGATGTATGTATGACCTTTTTCTGTTATAACTAAAATCATACTAAATGTACAATTTTTTTTTTTTTTTTGCAGTTTTTGGCCAGGGCTGGGTTTGAACCCACCACCTCTGGCATATGGGGCCAGTGCCCTACTCCTTTGAGCCACAGGTGCCGCCCTAAATGTACAATTTTGAATCCAGCTTCTTTAGAATTTTAAGGTAAATATTTCCACATGCAATTACCCAGAAGCAGAGGCAGTGTAGTACAGTGTAAGAGTTTGGGCTCTGCTATCAGAAGGTCGGAGTTTGGATTTAGGACCCACCACCTATTACTTGAGTTATCCTTGATTCTAAGCCAGAGTTTCTTTATTTCTAATATGTTGGAAATAGGGATAATTGACTCCTAGGATTACTATGAGGAGTAAATGAGATAACCTGTGTCAAAACCGCATAGCAGAGCACCTGGCACTAAGCAAGGCACATGGAAAGTTACCCATTACAATTTTCTCAGAGTCCGTAGGAAAGTCCCCTGCACCACTGTTGAGGTGAAAGTAACTCTCCATGTGTGGCAAAGACCAAAACACTTTGTCAAAAACTTCTTATGGGCACCAGACAAACAAACACAAATTGCTAAATTAAGATATGGTCTCAAATGTCTCAATATCATCAATTGCCTTGTAAGGCCTTGTTATTCCCTAACACCTAGGTTAATCCTACATCTGTTTTCTCCAATTCTGCTTCTGTGTCACTAGAAGAAAAAATCATGTAATTGTCCTGCTGCCAAAACAAGTGCATGTATGCATCCCAGCATAAGCTGGGCCCGCCTCCATCAGCAGCACCTTGTTCTCTCTTGGACTGCTTGCTCTGAGGAAGCTATAACTTGAGAACACTCAAGCAGCCCATGGAGAGACTCCCACAGGGAGAAATTAAGGGTTCCTGCCAACAACCAGCATCACCTGTCAAGCATGTGAATGAATCACCTTGGACTGGATCTTACAGCCCCAGTTGAGCTTTACATGACTTCAGAACTACACAACCAAGTCACTTCTGACTTCCTGACCCATAGGAACGGCAAGATAATAAGTGCATATGTGCCTACTATGTCCCAGGCATTCATTCCTTCAAGCACTATTAGGTGCTTAGTCTCTGTCATAGAAGAGATGGAACCACAAAAATCATACAAGCATATGATCATAGAAATAAATACATAGTTAAACCTGTGATAAGTGTGCTATGAAGAACAAGGGGAGCGAATCTAGACTGATGAAGTGGAGAATGTCTCTTCTAGAAAGAGACAGTTAAGGCCAAAAGCAGAAGAGTTTTACAGAGATAGCTGAAAATCTGGGAGCTTTAAGGTGATAAAGAGCCTACAACACCAAAGAAACTGAAAGAAGACTGGTGGTAGGTACAGTGAGCCACGGGGCATTAGCTACATTACAAATAATATCTAATACCTCGTGACGACTAATCCTCACAATAATTTCACGAAGTAGATGTTAGAACTCTTATTTCAAAGTGAATCAAGACTCGGAGGATCAACAACCACTTCAAGGTAACGTAACTAGTAAGTGGTATGCTGAGATCTAAATCAAGGATGAGCTTTACTAAAACCCATGCTATTCCCACTGTATCATATCACACTGACTCCTTCTCTTCTTGCTGCTCTAAGAAAGATCATAGTTTAAATTACCTTACTGTCCTTCTGATTCAAAACCATCATCATTCCCTCTCTTCAAATTTCAAGTCATTTTAGGTTATATTCCATATTTTTAACCCTGCCAAACTGCCTTAAGCATTTTACTCCAGTTAACCACGTCTCAAGATAGTATAAAATAACACAAATTCGCCCTTCATCTCGCCCTTCACTCAGTCTTCTCATTCTCAAATTTATTTCCTATCCCATTTCTTCTTCAGAATATCAAACTCCTCTTTTTCACCACTTAACCTTTTAAGAGTAACCTGTTTTGCAGCTCCACTTCCTCCTCTGCCACTTACTCAACCTACTGCAGCTTTGCTTCCTCTCTGCAACAATGCTAAGACTTTTCCAAGGTCTCTGCAACAATGTTAAGACTCTTCCAAGGTCTCTGCAACAATGTTAAGACTCTTCCAAGGTCTCTGCAACAGCACTAAGACTCTTGCAAGGTCTCTGCAACAATGCTAAGACTCTTCCAAGGTCTCTGCAACAATGCTAAGACTCTTCCAAGGTCTCTGCAACA